AAAAAGTAAACCGAATACTAAAAACAGATAGCTTTCTCTTATTTGTTTGAATTTAAATATTATTAAAAAATAACAGGTTGGATAATGGATACCAAGGAGAGTAACCCGACCCACCCAATAAAACTTGTGGGGCTTGCTTGACCCAACCTACTAAAACTAATCATTCAGTTGACCCAAGTCAACCTTTGAAATGAGTTGAGCTGATTATTGGGTTTCGCATGTAATCACCAGCCCTAGTAGTGTAGTTGAGAATCTCTACAGTGAGATGTTAATCAAGAGAAGAACTATTGAACAAGCTGTTCACGTTCTTTTCATGCCAAACGGTTTATAAATGTAAATGAGTTTAAAATGAAAAAAAAAAGTAAAAATTTTGACGGCCATTAAACTATTCCTTGCATCTACTTTTAACCATCAAATTATTTTTCATCTCAATTTAGCCACTCAACTAACTAATCAGTATACTCATGATCATTTCGTCAGATTTTGCATTAATCTACAAAATAAACCAAACACATGCAATTCACGTGTCAAAATCTAAGGGTAAATATATTTACTGAACTTCTTAATTCGAATCTAAAAATTTCAGCGTGCACTAAACTATCCTACTTGTACACTTTTCACCACTCAAATATTTTTTATTTCAATATAGTCATTGAACTCTTAAATAGGAATATTCGTGGTCATTCCATCAAATATTTCTAGTACTGCTAATGGAGTGAGCTCCATTTTTATTTTGTGCACCAAAAAATTAGGACAATTTTGTAAGGAGTGAGCTCCATTTTTCATTTTGTGTACCAAAAAATAAGGACAATTTTTTGTTTACCAAAAAAATAGGAATATTCGTGGTCATTCCATCAAATATTTCTAGCAATGCTAATGGAGTGAGCTCCATTTTCATTTTTTGTACCAAAAAATAAGGACAATTTTTTAGATTTTTTTCCTCTAGAGCTTTATATTTTTTAAATTAAAGATCTATAATAGTTTCTTTAATATATTCTAATTTATAAATTTTTACAAAAATACTAAATTATATGCTCAAGTTCTTGTGAATTATTTCCAAGAATTCTAAAATTAAAATGAAAATGAAAATAATCGATATAATGAAAAAATTTAAATGAAAGCTTGCTAATATACTATTTTTTTTCTGAGTTGAGTGGACATTTTGAATGAAAGATCACTTAAAATATATTGTTTGTATAGTTAAATGGCTATTTAAGATTTTTGTCTCATCTATTTGGACGAATTTACCCATGGTCTTTGGTGTGTGTGCACATGCAATTCATTCTGTTAGGGATAACATCAAATTTGGACAAAATGGCCATTAATATACATATTTGTAAGTTGAGTGGCCATTTTGAATAAAAAATTAATTGAGTGATTAAAATTGTACGACCAGAACAATTTTGTTGCCACTGAGATCTTTTGTCTATAAGTCAAGAAAATCAATGGACATATTTACTCTTAGGTTTTGGCATATGATTTGCATGTGTTCAATTTAATTTCTAAATTAAGAGCAAAATCTGAAAAAATGGTCATAGGCATACTGATTCTGACTTAAGACGAAAAATAGTTTGATGATCAAAAGTAGACGAAAGAAATAGTTTAGTGGTCATTGAGACTCTTTGCTCTTAAAAAAAATGTCATACACTGGTGTCCAATGGCTTAATTAAAAGGCATTAAATTGCTTTAAGATCAATTACACTTATGACTCACAACAGCAAGCGAGATATTTCAAGGAAGAATCACATACTAAATTCTTTCCTAATTTCTCTTTACTTTTCTGTTCCCCAAGTTCTCTCTACTTATTCTTCTCTTCACGAAAAGACCTTCCTCTTCTGGAGGATCCCTCCCATGTTGTCAGAAAGTCTCTTCTAAAATTTCTTAGTGAGAGTTCTTTGGTTTTCTTAAGAATATCTAGTGAGAATTTTCTATTTTTCTAGGAGTTTCTAGTGAGATTTTTGTATAGTTTTTTCTTTGTATTAGATCTAAATTTATTCCTATCTAGTTATTAGATTTGAAAAAATTTTGAACCTTGCATCTATCCTGACAAATCTCATCATTTTTCAGTTTATTCATAATTAAATTGTGGATCTACTATTTCGAGTGCATATATATCCTGCCATTATATATTCTATGATGTAAATCAAATTGTGCTTGATAATTTATAACAATTTCGTCGATAAAATTTGCATTTTATATGCAAAAAAGGATATTCAAAAGAAGAATCAAGCAAATAGATAAATAACATGACGAAATAATGAAAGAGGCATAAATAAAAAATTTTCTAACTTGGAATTGCATTTCCTATAGAATTAAATCTTGGGTTCCGTTTGGTCGGCGAGCTTTTTTGACATGTTTTTAATAGACTAAACAATTTTTTGTCTTAAGTAGCCTTCTAAACACCCTAAAATTTTTTAAAATACACAACCTCAAACACACAATGTTTCCTTTCTTTCCTTTCTTCTTTTTCTTCCTCCTACCCCACCTCAACCCACCACTGCAGGTCTGCATTCTACTAGTGATGGCAATGGCAGCACCTTTCTTTTTTTTTCCTGCTCCCTCTTTCCTCTTCTTCTCCTCCCTCCCTCCCTCCCAACTCCTCCTCTCCTCTCCCTCATCCCTTTCTCCCCCCATGACCAGATGATAGAAACTTTTAACACTAAACTCACATTTCATGCTTTATATATAGAAAGATTTGTTTGAAAAAATAGTACATGCATAAAACATGCATTGCTTCCTTGTACATAAATTGATTGTGTGTATCCAATGTTTTGAAAATCATATCAGACCGGTTGATTTGATTGGTTGAATTGCGAACCAGCCATGCCTTCGATCCGATTCAATGCTAAAGCCAGGATTGACAAAAAACCAATCAAAACCGATGAACCAGTAAAAATCCAATCGAACTGTGACCTGCGTTTTTTGTATCTTTCCAAAATAACCCGACTAAAGGACATAAAGTCATAGTTGTAAACCCTAAAGTTAGCTTCCTAAAGTTCAGCTGTCAGACTTCCCTCTCTCTCTCTCCTCTATTTTTCTCTCTTTTCTCTAGCTTTGCTCCAATTTCTTTTTACTATTTCAAATTTACACAATTTCCATGGCTTCTCCTTAGGACTATAACCTTTTATCTCCTTTCTCTAGTTTGCAATCTCCATGGCTCCATGGAAACCAAAGCTTTTAAATCTCCTTTTTCTTTTTTACGATTTTTATTTTTATATTTCTTGTGTGCTAATTAATTTGCTGTGATTATTGTTTTTCTTGTTTTTCGCGGTTTTGGATTGCCACATCATGACATGGTTTTTCTTAATTTTGGCCGAGGTTAATGTTTTTCCATCAACTCTCTGATTTTGCTCTTTTTTTTTTCAATTTCATTTTTTATTTATTGATTTTCCTGATTTTTGTTGGAAGGTAATAAGATTCGATATGAGGTGGACACTACTTCAGTTATTTTGTTGAAATTAGCTTTTTTTGGGCTGAAGCTATCTTTTTGTTTTTGGCTGAAATTGTCTTTGTGCACACGATGAAACAATTATAGGATTTAACTCTTCCTTGCACAGTAGCTCATCTGAAATTTTTTTTCAGCAAACGCCTCTGACATTTTTGTGGAAGTGTTAAAACATTGGACGAAAGGGTGCAAAGCAAAATAATGGGCCTTTGTTGTTTGAAGCCAGGGTGAACAAGTGGACAAATCTTATTCTTGTTTTCTGTCTTGATCCTAATACTTGGCTCTATCGGCTCATGGGTCCTGGAACGTTAAAGAAGATGCTGTGAAAGTAGGCAAGATTCATAGATTGGTAAAAAAAGGTGAGAGGGTTAGGGTAAAAAAAAGGAAGTGAAGCATGTTTCCATTTTCTACTATTATTTCTCGCAAGATATTTTTTTTTTTGGAGTTGTAATCATGTTCAAGGTTAGATCTAAATACATCATATTAGCTTTGTACTATGGATTTATCATTTATGTGCTATTTTTTTAAAATATGTTTTTTTTCTTCCATTTCTTGTCATTTATCCTTTACTTCTTCCTTGTTTAATACTCCGGCAATTGTGGGATGTATTTTCTCAAGGATATTTATGTTCTTTTAATAGAATACCATATTATTCAGATTTTTAATTTTTAAAAATTAATTTAAAAATATTGAACCAATGAACTGGCTGGTTGAACTGATTGAACTGAGAAAATTGCGAACCGAAAGCTTAGCCAGTTCACTTGGTGGTTCAAGTTTCAAAAGACTGTGTATCAGGTACTGGAAAAACAGTCAACATTTTCAATGCCATAACTTGCGGAAAATAAATTGCATTTGCAATTTTATCCTTTTCAACCCAACGCCATAACTCAAGGTCAGGGAAGGAGGGATGGTAGGGATACTGGTAGCAAGTTGCTGCTTACGTATACAGAGGCTTTCCACAAGGGGGAGGATGGGTGTTATAAGGGAGTGGGAGAGGATATTGGGGAAAAGGCTGGGGGCAGACGGGAGGAGGAGAGAGCTATAGGAATAGGGGAGCAGGTAGGGAGTATGTGGGAGCAGGGGGATGAGGGTGTGGGGAAGGAAGGGTGGGGGGACAAAACTGTCCAGGGGAATGCTTGGGGGGATGGAGGGCAAAAAGAGCTGATGGAGGGCAGGTCAGGGAAGGATGCAGTAGATGAGGTGGTGGATTTACGTGGATTGATGGTGAGAAAAGTGGAAGTAAGATAAGGAGGGAGGGTATGGGGGCTCATGGGATGATGGAAAATAACAAGAAAGTGGAGACAAAGGGGGGGAGGGGAAAAGGGAATCACAAGGTCAGTAAGAGTTGGAAGAGGTTGGTACTGGAGGTTAGCAAAAGGAAGCCACAGCTGGAGGTTAATAGGGATGAGGGTGATTCTGGCAAAGGGAAAAGGAAAGTGGAGGAGCAGGCAGGGAAGGAAAATAAGAAAAAGTGCAAAACGGGAGTAGAGTGGTGTGAGCGGATAGCTTTCCGTGAGGGGATGGAGTCCACCCTTAATGCGGCTCCACATGCTCAATGAGAGCTGTGATGTGGAACTGTCGTGGTGCAGGGAGCCCCTTGACAGTTCCCTATCTGAAGAAGTCTATAAAACTCCACTCTCCATCATTGGTATTTTTATCAGAAACAAAAAAGAAAAAGAGCTATCTGAATAATGTGAAGCAATGGATAAAATTCGATCATCTATTTGTTGTTGATCCTGTGGGTTTGGTTGGTGGCTTGGCAGTGTTCTGGAAGAAGGAATTGCAAGTTAAAAAAGTGTTGTTCTCAAGTTTTACTATAGAATTGTTAATAGAGGATAGGGAAGTAGGTGGTGAATGGTGGTGTGTCTGTGTGTATGCTAGTGCTGATGTTAGGATTAGGAAGGAACAGTGGAAGGTCATAGCTAGGAGAAGTTGTCTGTGGGGAGAAGCATGGGCTATTATGGGAGACTTGAATGATATTACATCAAATAATGAAAAGTGGGGAGGGAGGCACAGGGCTGAGGTTAGTTTCCAGGAGTTTAACTCCTTTATAAATAGCAATGAATTACAGGACATAGGTTTTGAAGGAGTTCCCTGGACTTGGTGTAATAATTGGGGTAGTGAGGGAGAGGTTAAAGAAAGGATTGATAGAGTTTTGGGTAGTCAAGGCGGGATAAAGAGGTTTGAGAAGGCAAAATGTACTCATGTTGAAACTAAGGCTTTTGATCATTGTTTATTGGTACTGGATACAAAACTAGTAGAGAGGAGGTTCACGTTTGACAGGAGATGGTTAGGACATAGGGATATAGGGGAGGTTATTGATAAGGCATGGGGAGAGCAGCAAGGGGGATCTAGGATGTTTAAGGTTCAGAGGAAAATAAAACAGGTCAGATTGAACTTATTGAGTTGGAGCAAGCAGTGTTTTTGTAATTCAAAAAAGCTGATAGAGCAAGTGAAGAAGGAGATAAAGGAAGCTAAGGAACTAAAAAGTGATGGTTATAGGATCAAGGTAGCTTGCCTGAAAAGGAAGTTGGCTGAGGCTTATAAAAAAAGAGGAGATATATTGGAGTTAGAAGGCTAGAGTGGACTGGTTGAAAGAGGGGGATAGAAATACCAAGTTTTTCCGTGCAAAGGTGTCAGGTAGGAGGAGGTGGAACAGGATTAGTATTTTGAGGAGTAGGTCTGGTGATTGGTGTAAAAATGAGAAGGAAACATGCCAAGAGATCACTGATTATTTTCAGCAGGTTTTTACTTCTCAGAATCCTGAGGGCTTTGCTGAGATACTAGAAGGTGTTCCACAGACCATCACTGAGGAGATGAATAGGGAGCTTACCAGGAATGTATCAAAGCAAGAGATCAGCAAAGCAATCTTCTCAATGCACCCACACAAGTCCCCAGGACCAGATGGTATGTCCCCAATTTTTTTCCAAAAGTTTGGCCAGTTATTAAGTCTGACATTGTCTGTGCAGTTGACAGTTTTTTTCATTCAGGTTATTTGCTCAAATCTGTTAATGAAACTTTAATCAGTTTGATTCCCAAAACTAACACTGCTAGTTCCATTTTAGATTTCAGACCTATAAGCTTGTGTAATGTCCTTTACAAAATCATTTCAAAAGTGCTCACCAATAGGTTCAAACTAGTCCTGAGTGCTTGTATTAGTCATTCCCAGTCTGCTTTTGTCCCTGGAAGGCAGATTTTGGATAATGTTTTGATAGCTCATGAATGCATTCATTTCTTAAAAAAATAAGAGGGTTGGCAGGGATGGTTTCATGGCTATTAAATTAGATATGTCAAAGACTAATGATAGAGTAGAATGGAAATTCCTGGCTAAAATGATGATGAAGATGGGATTCTGTCCAAAATGGATTCAGTGGGTGCTGGAGTGTGTATCTAGTGTTACCTACTCTATTAATTTTAATGGGGAGAAAAGGGGGTACATTAAGCCAACAAGAGGGTTGAGACAGGGAGATCCTCTATCTCCCTATTTGCTTTTGATCTGTGCTGAGGGGTTTTCCTCTTTGCTAAACCAAGCAAAGGTACATGGAAGGTTGACTGGCTTGAAGATTGCTCAGGGGGCTCCTAGTCCATCTCATTTGTTTTTTGCAAATGATTCCCTGATCTTCTGTAAAACAAATGTTGATGAAGCTAGTCAGAAAATGAGGATTCTAGAAGTGTATAAACAAGCTTCTGGTCAGTTAGTAAATGTAGAGAAATCCTCTCTGTTCTTTAGCAGGAATATAGGTAGTAGTAGACTGAAGGAGGGGGTTATGAGGAAGTTGCAGGGAATGAGACTTGCTCAGCACAGCAAATATTTGGGGTTACCTCTACCCATTGGACGATCCAAAAGGCAGGCAGTTGAATTCATCAGGAATAAAGCTATGGAGAGGCTGCATGAATGGAAAGAGCAGTTATTGAGTCAGGCAAGGAAGGAGGTTCTGCTTAAATCTGTTATAATGGCCCTGCCCACGTATATAATGTCTTGTTGTTTGTTGCCAAAGGATCTGTGTAAGAAAATTTGCTCAGAGATGGCTAAGTTTTGGTGGGGTCAAAAAGGAGATGAGCAGAAGATTCATTGGCTCAGTTGGGGAAAATTGTCTGAAGTGAAAGCTGAAAGAGGCCTTGGTTTCAGGGATCTTCATGAGTATAATCTAGCCTTGTCGGCAAAGCAACTATGGAGGATTTTAACCAGGCCAAATCTGTTAATGAGTAAGGTTATCAAAGCTAGGTACTTCAAGGGGGTCTCTCTATGGAAGATGGAAAGCAATGGTACTGACTCTTGGTGTTGGAAAAGCCTACTGAGGGCAATGGGGATTTTAGAAGCAGGGCTAAGGAAGAGGGTGGGTGATGGACAATCTATCAGCATATGGGATGATAGGTGGCTTCCGAATTCAGAAGATGGGAGAGTTAAAACTCAAAGAAGGGAGGAGGTGGGTGTTTTTAGAGTTAGTGATCTCATACAAGAGGGGAAGTGGAACAAGGAGTTGATTGTTCAGGTGTTTGAGGAGCAAGAAGGAAAGGAAATTCTGAGAATTCCTCTGAGTGTATTTGAGAGGAAGGACACTGTATACTGGAGTAAGTCTAGCACTGGGAAGTTTAGAGTAAAATTAGGCTACAAGTTAGCTAAAAGTCTTTGAGGGAAGGGGGATCATGGGAGAAGAGGAGCAGAATCAAGCTATAGAGGGAAGTGCATGCCCCAAGGCTGGAGTTTTCTTTGGGGACTGAAGGTAAAGCATAAGCTGAAGCACTTTATCTGGAAGTGCTTGCAGGGTGTGTTGCCTGTAAACGTTGCTATCAAAGAAAGATGCTCAAAAGGGGATCCTGTTTGCAAATGCTGTGGGGAGTCCCCGGAAACTATTGAACATCTGCTCTTTTTCTGTGATAATGCTAAGGCTGTCTGGAAGACAGTACCTGTAAGCTGGGAAGGGTTAGAGTGTTTTAGGAACAGTTTTGGCCATTGGTGGGAGGAGTTGAGGGATGTCAGGGCATTGGAAAGTGGTTAGGAGAGAATTGAGTTGACCATGAATGTTCTATGGTAGATATGGAAATCAAGGAATAGGAGGCAGTTTGAGGATAAAAGGATGGACCCAATGGCAGTAGTGCAGAAGGCAACTAGGGAGTGGAGAGAGTTCCAGGAGGTTCAAGATTTGGAAGGGGGGACGGGTAGCTTTAGGACTAAAGGAAAGGAGGGATTGGGGGGTTGGAAGGCACCAGAGGGAGGTTGGGTTAAGATAAACTCTGATGCAGCAGCGCAACAGAAGACAGACAGTGCTGGTTGGGGGATGATTGCTAGGGACTGTTTTGGAAATGTGTTGAGAGCCTGGCCCGTGCCAAGCTCAGGTTGCTCAAGTGCTAAACAGGAGGAAGCTTTGGCTCTAAGAACTGCTATGCTTATGGCAAAACATCAAGCTAGAGAAGGGTGGTGTTCGAATCAGATTGCAAGCAGCTTATTGATAAAATAAATAGGGCGGGTTGGGGATTTTGATATTGTAACTATCTTGTCTGATATAGTTAGGTTGAAATCCAATTTTTACGAATGTTGTTTTTCCTTCACAAGGAGGTCTAACAACTCTGTTAGTCACTTTTTGGCAAAATTAGCTTTAAGCTTGGAGGGTCCTGCTGAGTAGAAGTCTGTCTTCCCAGCCTGGCTGCTTGAATTACTTCAAGCAGATTGTAAGGGCAGTTGCTCCAACAGTATGTAGTCAGTTTTGGTATATATCAAAGTGTTGCCGTTTTGGGGAAAGAAAAACCCATATAGCATGTGTAACTTCTATTTTATCAAATAGACGAAAATGTCTTTACTGCTAACATCGATTTAGATGTTACTCAAAGAGGGAAATAAACGGGGAGAGAAGAGGAGAGGAGATGGGGGCAAGGGGAGGAGTAGGGATGACAACAGGGCGGGCTTGGAGCGAGAGACCCTCCCCTGTGCTCTCACCCCTGCCCCGCGCTCCCCCCGCCCTACCTTGTTTCTTTCGTGGGTCTAATAAAAATTTGTTATATAATTTTATTATAATCAAATTTTAATAAATAATCAAGTACTAAAATATCAATTCATCACAAAATTATTATCCATTGTAGTTTTACAATTGAAACTCATAAAAATAATTAAACAAAAGTTATTTGAATACGATCTAATATGACGAAACAAATACAACTAAAGTAGTCAAGTTTTCACTTTTGATACAAATACAATTGCTAAATCATTATTTTTTTTGAGAGAAAAATGTTATTGTGTCAAATGTAATTAGAAATTTAGTATAAATATATTAGTAAATTTATTATAACTAATTAATAATGTCTATTAGTAGACATGTATAATTATTAGTATAATTGATAATATCAATTATATTACATATACTAATATACAATATATAATACATATAACGAATAATATCATTATTATAAGTTTGTAACTAATTAAGTTAAATATTATATATATATATATATATGTATATATGTATTTATTAATTTTTTAACGGGTGGCGGGACGGTGGACCCAACCCGTTTCTATACGGGGGAAAAAAATTCCCCCTCCTGTCCCACCTCAACCCCCGCCCCGTTAGCCCCCCACGGGTACCCACTCCAATTGCCATCCCTAGAGAGAGAGAGAGAGAGAGAGAGAGAGAGAGAGAGGAGAGACTGCTAGCACCGTCACTGGTAGCCTACGGAAGTGCCAACAACAGTGGCCAGCAATAGGGAGGGAGGGAGAAGGAGAAGAAGAGGAGGGGAAAGAAAAGGAAAAAGAAAAAGAAAGAAAAAAGGAAAAAAAAAGAAAGCTTTACATAACTTTAAAAAATTTTCTAAAAATTCCACCACAAGTTACAATAAAATTTTATACAAACATCCAAAAAACTCATCACCCAAACAGATCCTATATTAAAGGACATACGGGTAGAGATTATTTGAAATAATAAATGATCCATCCTAAGACAGGATTTATGGGGGAAAAAGATGCTTAAGATAGGGAGGATATTACTGTAATATTCTTAGCAAAATCAATCAATCAGACAAGTTATCAAAAACCTAGGACTGCACTCGGCCAGGCAAGAGGAGTGTGTCGTTCCATTACATGTGAGACCCCTCCCTCCATATGTCCCACCTCGGGGATTTGCAAAGGAAATAATTGATATATTAGTTCCAGTTCATGGGTTATTAATTTGTTTTGATTAATCATTTTAAATCTATGATTCCATTCAAAAGTTATTTGGGAAGTTCACGGATTCAAGGCATTATAGTTGGTGCATAGTGAATTTCATGTGATTTTTGCATGGGTGAGTTCGAAATTATGGTCCCTCTCTTTAGGATTTTGTGAGGACGCCAAAATCCTAAGGGGAGGATGAATGTGAGGCCCCCGTTTGTCTGTCCCACATTGGGAGTTTGAAAAGGAAATGATTGATAATGCGTCGGCCAACGGCCAACCAAGTGATGCGTTCGGACAAGAAACCGCAACAACTCAATTTAGCATCGACTAAATTTGATGACCATAACTCAATCCCCCGGGCCCCAAAAAATCACACACACACACAACACCACAAAAACAAAATTCCCATTCCATTTCTGATCACAACCCCAATTTCAATCCCAAACCTGATGAATCCCCGAAGCCTTGAGTAGAATCCAATGCTTCGGAGACCAATTCCAGGTTGGGCAAATACAAAGGCAGCCAAACCTTGACCATGAGAGAATTGTTGAATGAATTGAAGAATGGTGAGATGGTTCCTAGAGGAGGAGAGGAGGGGGACGGACGGGGGAGGATGAAAAGAGAGGGGGAGGAGAAAGGCGGTGGGTAGTAGTGCGCAACGGATCTTCTGTCCCACGCCCTGTGCCACTCTCTGTCTTTTGGGGTAGTAGTGTGGTGTTAATTTTTAATAAAAAAAATAAAAAAAAATTTAAATTCTAAAAATACCCCAAAATATATCCTAAAAATACCTCCAAAAATACCATAAAAAACATTTACAATAAAAATTTTTCACATTTATTGTTACAGTATAATTTTTCAAAAATACTGCCAAAAAGAGCTAATCCATACTAAACCAAAATGTTTTCATGACCGAATCCTCTTACTTACAATCTCTCCTATCATACCATTCAATCCAACCTCCCTTCACTTATAGTATCAAAGGACCTACTTGCAGTAGGGCCAAATCCACTTTGAATTTCATAAACTCACGAAGAACGCTTTCTAAAATATTGTGGGGTGTACTTAGGTCGGATAAACTCTTCTAGAATAAATATTTAGCAATGATGTTCGTGAAAAAAATCTCAAGATCTTATTCACGTAGAAGAAAAACAAAAGTTGCATTTTCATTATGGCCTTCAGAACGATAATTACTTAAATATATTTGTATTGTGGGCCATAACTGATTTTAACCATTACACACCATTTCATTACGCTTCCAAAAGAATAATTTTCCACAATTTGATTGTTGGAGCATTAACACGTAACTTTCCTTTGACTGTTATACTTATGACCTGCCAATTACAATTGGAATTGCTCATTTTTAAGGCCATTGTTCATCGATAAAAGTACTTTACTATTAAGTTTAATTTGATGACAACGCAAACTAAAACCAAATTCCAAGATATATCACCTTAAACTCCATATCCTAACTTATATGGTCAAAAATAACTTCACAAGCAAGTACCGATATGGTGAAAACAATAAACAACCCAAAAAGAAAAGGTATTTCTTTTTAGAAGACAAAATTTCCATTCCCGCCCTGAGTTCATTAGACGCATATTAGCTGCCGATGTAATACATGTGACTACTTCTAGAGTAGTTCCGGTGCAAGGGTGTAAACCTCCCCCTAGTCACCGAAAAAAAAACTATTTAAAGAATAATTTTTTATGGAGCCAGAATTTTTTTCCGAGTGGGGGCCCAAATTATCCTAACAAAATTATGTGAAAATGTTATGTTCCAAATAATTTCCATCAATTTAAATGCATGACATCTAAAAACATCAAATATCAACTTTAATTATAAAGGTATGTCTATTTCATAAATATGCATCATAGTCGTAACAAAAATTAAAACAAGAAATAACCTTTGATTAAATATCTTATGATATCATAAACCATCTGAGTTACATATTATGAGAAGATGCTCCAATATGTCATTTGTGTAATACATATATATATATATATATATATATATATATATATATATATATGTATATATGTATGTATGTATAAATGTAATATAAATATAACTATTTTCAATTAAAAAAGATAAAAGTTAAGTTAACATATCTTGAAATTTCAACCTCTTTTCTTAAAAATAAATTGAGTTTTATATTCTTTCATAGAACTAAATTCATCCATGATTGAATTAGTGCTAAATTTTTCAATGACTTCCTTTTCTTTGTGCATAGATTAAATCAGTGTTAAATTTTCCAGCAACTTCCTTTTTTATGTTCACAGTTAGGCAACCATTCAAGAAATTATCTTCCATTTTGTTCTGAAACTTTGTTTTGATTATCTTCATGATTGAAATTACATGTTATGTAGTTGTTGTTGATACAGGAAGAACAATAACAAAACTAATCAATTTGTCAACAAGAGAATAGATCACTGATTTTCTTGTCTTCACCAAGCATTGAAGTAATTATTTGTATATGGGTCAACGAGAATACAGGCTAAGTTGAATGTTTGCATATGGGCCAATAAAGTTATTGTTTTAGCCCATTGAAAATTATGAATTAGGTCTTTTATTATAATATATCAAATTGGGTCAATTTATTATGGTATCATCAAATTATACGTTTAATTTTTTGAATGTTAATAATTAGCACAATAAAAAATAAATAACATTTTTTGAAGAAAAAATTTAATTCAAAGGTGGCTAGTTCATGTATGTATATGTGTGTGTGTATAAACTCTCATAATATAAACTAAAATTATAAACAAGCAGGGGGCAACTTTATCTTATACATATATTTGCACACTATAAATTAAATTTTTCAAAATTTAGGGAGGGCCCTGGCCGTCTTCAACCCCCTTGGCTCCATCATTGTCTATGTGTGTGTGTGTGTGTATATATATATAAACTCTTATAATATAAACTAAAATTATAAAAAGTTAGGGGAGACCAACTTTATTTTGCACATATATTTACAAACTATAAATTAAAATTTTCAAAACTTAGGGAGGGCCAAGGCGATGGCCCCTTCAGCCCTTTGGCTCTGTCATTGCATATGACGGAGAGAAGATGGTGATGGGAAAGGAGAGAAGATGAAATGGAGAAATTTCAGGTTTTATTTTCATTTGAAATTCTAACTTGGGTAATGAAAAGATAAATGAAGACACTTGAAAGGATTGAGTAGTTTGATAAAGATGTGAGTCCAAAGCATTTAAGCCACAATTTCTCCAGTTTAACTTTCGATATTTTTTGGATTCTATCGATACAGGGTAAACAATTTTTGCTCAAAAGTGTGAATTTTGTTTATTTACATCAAATATT